TGATTCTTCTGTTCACCATCCCATCAGGAATATCAGAGAGCCAGAGTTAGAATTCAGAAAATTCAGTTGGAGAGAAGCGCATGACAAAATGTTTCCAATTTGAGACTTCTAATTATTTGCTTTAGTGAACAAAATTATGGAGAGTGTGACTTTGAAGTGGAAGGTAGAAATATTAAAATCAATGACGAGAAACCAACAGCAACATCGAATGCCAGCAGATAGCTTCCCTGAGGTGTGTAACACACCATCCTGCTAGCTCCATCCCCGTTTTATGGGATCGCTGAGATTCAGAGAGGGTCACTAACTTGCTCAAGGGTTACACAGCTAGTCAGTATTGCTTCAGATATTTATTCACACCTGTGTTGCACCAAAGTGCCCCAGAGAGTAGAGGCAAGTTAAGGAATAATCGAGTGCCGTGGTTTATTTTGTTGGCTTTGGCAAAAACGCAGCTGATTTATCTCATGGTTCATGTTTAAAATTCATGCAAATTGTGTGTTATACTTGATCATATAGCCGTGTTATTTTTATATCAGGACAAATACATTAAATTATTCATCAACTGAATTATTTAGCTTTTCTCTCCCGACATGGACACTTTGGAAAGACGTGCCTTTTTTTTTTTTTTTTTTTTTTTTTTTTTTTTTTTGCTGTGGCTTCCTAAATGCTCAGCACCCAGCCACTACCACTGGGAGAACATCACCCCGGTTTAAGAAACACAAGGTCCGTCTGAGTCCGAGGGGCAATTATTTATATGTGGCCTAAGGACCTAGTTTAAGGTAGCACAAAACTGTGTTTTAACCACAAGTGTAAGGTGGCGAAAGCTGTCACATCTGTAACATTCATTAGTTCATTCGACAACCGAGAGTGTGCCAGGCCTAGCTCCCGCCACGGGGCCAATCCAGCCCCGGCTGGGGCACTGACCCGGCACTGCAGACCCCCCCCCCAACCCGCCACCGCCCCAAGCGGTCAGGGAGATGGGACCAGACAGATGCGGGGCCGGACTCCACCCTGCCCGAACCCCAAGCCGAGGGGCCGGTCTCACTGACCTTATAAAAGTCCGAAAGCCTGTTGGTCCCAACTTCATCGTCCCCTTGATCCCCAGGAACCGGATAAACAAATTTGCCATCCTGTCCACCAGGCGCAGGTAGTTGAATTGCTTGGCATACTTGGGGAACACCTGCTTAAGGCAGATGGAGGGCAGGTGGGCTTCGGGATCCGTGTTGCCGTCGGAGGCACTGGCCGGCTCAGTGTCGGAAGGATCCTCCTTTGCAGCTAATGGCTTCGTAAGCTGCTGAGACCTGAAGTACACGAGCAAGTAATGAACCAATAGGTGCAGCAGGAGTCATAGGACGCAGCACCTTCTCACACATATTCTCCTCTCTTTACAGTTCAGATACCTCAGGAGGTGTTATCACGGACACTGATTTCATTGTACAGACCAGGGGCCTGACCTCAGAGAAGCGAGCGGCTCAAGCTCACATAGCTAGTGTGTGGCAAGGTCGGGACTCGAATCCAGGACAGAGCCAGGACCGTCCTCTGTTCTCCCATCCTGGTTTCCCAATGTGGACAACTGCCTTTACCATACTCGTGATTCAAGAGAGTACTCTATTACAGAGCAGCCTAGGTTTGATTTCAAACTCCTACTTGTGGGTAGTAATCGAATAATTAAGAAATATAAAAAATCTCATTGAGGGCTGGCAACAAGCCAGAAGCACAGTTCAATGAACAATTTGCAAAGATACATCAGTTACCCAATTCTAGGAATAGGCACAATTACGTTTTCTGGCTTAACTATTTTCTTATTTGGAACTCATACAAAAAACAAAAAACAAAAAAACCAAAAAACATGATTATCATGTTGTGATCCCCGAGTCTGGATATTTTATTCTGAAGTTATTCTGAGAGTCAAGAAAAGTCACAGCTAAAACTCCCAGATAGCCACCTCTGGCTTGGAATGCTCTTCTCACCTCCAGACCCACATATTCATCACCTGCTGCACCTTCAGGATGGGCCCCAGTCACCCCAGGCTGAAACACGTGCCCATTTCCCTCACCCCAAATCTACACTCCCCATCTCCTTCACCGTCACCCCCACCTGCCAGCTACCCAAGCAGAAAATGTCAGGATAAATTCCAGGCCTACCTCCTCAGTATTTCCTGACTGGGGAGCTCTGCTCTCCCCAACCTGGGTCTTGTGGGCTCTCCCCTGGACCATACCAACCGCCTCCAGCCTTTCCCATCCATAGACCCATAGACACTGGCACCTGAGGCACCTCTTTTTTTTTAATTAAAATTTTTTTTGAGAGAGAGAGAGAGAGAGACGAGAGAAAGACCGTGAGCAGGGAAAGGGTCAGAAGGAGAAAATCTTAAGCAGGCTCCACGTGAAGCCCAAAGTGGGGCTCGATACAACGACCCTGGGATCATGACCTGGGCCGAAATCAAGAGTCGGACGCTCAACTGACTCAGCACCCCCGCCGGCCCGCCCCATGTCCCCTGAGGCACCTCTTCTAAAGCAAACCTGGCTGGGTTGTCCCTCACTACAACTGTTTAGGGATTCCCGAGTGCCTACAATGAAGCCCATCCTTTTCATTCTGGCGCTCAAGGCCCTTCTCGATTTCTTCTCCGTCCTCCTCATTTCCTATCACTACCCCTAGATAGGCCTGGGGTGCTCCCTGCACGCTCCCCTGGACCGGAGACTCGGGGCCCACTGCACCCCGGCTCTCCTCCACAGCTGGTGCCTCTCTCTGCCCTTCCTTGCAGCTTACCTCGCTCTCCTGCCTGCTGTCCTGCCCACAGCTGGTCCAGGGCCAGGTGTGACCTTTTCCACGTGTGCATCCATTCCTGAGACAACCCTGAGCAGGCTGTACTTGGTCAGTACATACTGCCCAACTGGCTAACTGATCCGGGAAAATTCCAACCACGTCACATGGTATCGAGCTCAAGGCCACTATCTACACTTTTCTTTATTAAATGGCCACATCCCCCGTGTTCCCACTTGTGAGCTCACCACCAGTCACCAAGTTGGGTCGTCTTGGTATCTTTGTACCTGCCTTCCTTGGCCTTTGAGGTCTTCCCCTGGCCCTGGCTGCCCGGCACATTTCTTCTGGTCCACTTCCAGAACCAGCTCAGATGTCTCCTTGACCACACCAGTGACTCTTTCCATGCTCCACTCCTGTTCCTTGGACTTGCTTCTTTGTTCCTCTGGTCAAGTGCCACTGCATTTGTCTGTAGACCAGTCCCTCTTACCACATCTCATTCAACTCTATCTCTACAGGACCTGGAACGCTTTTGGCTTTTGTGAAAAGTTTCGTTGAATTTGTTGAAGTGGGCAAGTTTGCTTTTAATGGCAAGCCATGCCTCAAGTAAGATACCAAGGTTATGATGCTTTGTACACCAGCTCTTTTTTTTTTTTTTTTTTAATGTTTATTTTGAGGTGGGGGGAGGGACAGAGGGTCCAAAGCAGGCTCTGCACTACAGCAGCAAGCCCTGTGCAGGGCTCGGACTCACTAGTCACGAGATCATGACCCCAGCCAAAATCAGACGCTCAACCGACTGAGCCACCCAGGCGCCCCCAGGAAAACAAACCCCTTTTGAAGTTCAGCCGTGTGGATGGTTCTGGGGAAACAAACGCTCAATCTCACCAGGATTTCTCCTGAGAAGCACATGCTCTTGGGTGGGACACTGAACAATCTCCTTTCAGCTAAGCTGGTTTTATCATCATCTCCTTGAATTTCAGGACAGTACTTAAAAGTCAGTGGTTACTTTTCAGGTGAAATGACATGTTTCCACACGAAGGTTACAGGAAGACAGATGAGGAAAGAGTAGTAGTGTTCTGGAAATTAGCTCTTAAATTACTGGAGAAGTGGCAGTTGCTGACTTGCTAAGTACTCATTAGGTTTTTGGTCGAGGGAAGGTTTGGAAACGAACAGTTTGAATATGCTCTGTGACAATGAAGAGAGCTCCGAGAATCCTTCAATCAGCCGTCCTATCTCCAGTACCTCGCTGGCTCTTCACGCAGCCCTGTGAGGTGACTGTCACTCTTTGAAAAAAAAAAAAATTTTTTTTTTCTTTTAATGTTTATTCACTCTTCGAGAGACAGAGAGAGACAGAGCGTGAGCCAGGGAGGGGCAGAGAGAGAGGGCGACACAGAATCTGCAGCAGGCTCCAGGCTCTGAGCTGTCAGCACAGAGCCCGACGCAGGGCTTGAACTTATGGACTGCAAGATCATGACCCGAACTGAAGTCGATGCTTAACTGACTGAGCCACCCAGTCGCCCCGAGGTGACTGTTACTCTTATGCCTTCTGTTCTGGGTAAGAAACCGAGCTCCAGCAAGGTTTGTCACAGCTGAACCAGGATTGTAAATCAGCCCTTCTAACCAGGGCTCGTTCGTTGCCCCTCTACTGTTAGAAAGCACAGCATGGTTCACAGGGTGAGCCACAGAATCCAAAGTACTGTTATTTATGTTGTATTTTAAATAGTTGGGTTGTTTTTTGTTTGTTTTTAGAGTATAACGGTCATCCATGCTCTTTGCAGACATTTTGAGGACGTATAAAAGAATCGAAATCATTTGTCACCCACAGCTCAGGGATAAAGACCACTATGTTTTGGTTTCTTATCTATAGTTACGAAGTTAGGATCACATTGCATATAGTGTAAATCCTTCTTTTCACACTTTAAGTTACATCCAGAGTATCTTTTTTTTTTTTTTAACATCTTATTTATTTTTGAGACAGAGAGAGACAGAGCGTGAACGGGGGAGGGTCAGAGAGAGGGAGACACAGAATCTGAAACAGGCTCCAGGCTCTGAGCTGTCAGCACAGAGCCCGACGCGGGGCTCGAACCCACGGACCCCGAGATCGTGACCTGGCTGAAGTCGGACGCTTAACCGACTGAGCCACCCAGGCGCCCCACATCCAGAGTATCTTCCCGTGGCATTAAACACGTTTTCACGAAGGTAATTTCTCACGGATGTGAAATATTCGGTATTAAAGCCAAACCATAATTTAATTAGCCGCCCCCCTTCAGTTGGCTATTGACTGTCTACATGGCCTATTTTTAAAAAAAATTTTATTTATTTAAGAGAGGGAGGTTGGGGGGTGGGGGCAGAGGCAGAGAGAATCCCAAGCAGGTTCCACGCTCAGCGCAAGGCCCGATGCGGGGCTCAAACTTACGAACCATGAGATCATGACCTGAGCTGAAATCAAGAGTCAGGCGCATGTCTGAAGCCATCCGGGTGCCCCAACGTGGCCTGTCTGTGACTAAATGGAATGTGGTGACCGGTCCCTAAGTGAATGTGCTCCCTCTCAGAAACAGGACACATCACAGCTAGCAGCAGACTTGGAGGTCCTTCTGGGCAATGACACCATCCATTTTTTGGCGTGTGGTCTAATGCATGCAACGTAAAAGGTGCCATTTTAATCACTTTAAAGCGCACAATTTGGTGGCATTTAGTACATTCACAGTGTTGGGTACGCATCACCTCTTATCTAGTTCCAGAACATTTCCATGACAATGCCATTTCAGAGGAGAAACTTCAATCCCGGGCAGATAAGGCCACTACCATCAGTGGGTCACTTAATTAGCAGATGGTCCAGGGTGGCGGCCTTTGCTTGGGTTGCTCTGGGGACGGGGACCCCACCACCTCCAGGGGACCTCTTGGGCTGGGCAGGCTTTCCCGCTGATATGCATGTCGGAGGAGGCCTCTCGCCAGCGTCCTCAGCCTGCCACAGGTTCTGCTCCAGAGCCTCGCAGATGGAGTGGCTTTTTTTTTTTTTCTCCTTTACGTGAGCCCTTCACATTCTTTCAAGGGCTGCTGTGTTTACTGGCTGACTACCTCTTCCCTTCCTTCCTGAATCCCAATTAATATGCTCAAGATGACAAGGGCCGTCTAAGCCACAGATACAATTTTCATGGACTCAAAACCACAAATTTAGGGGGGAGTGTTTTACTCAACTGGAAGAAGGCCGTAAAGATGTAGCTGATACAGAAGAAGAGATAAAACAGTGAGAAATGGTATCTTTGCTTGAGCTAATTCCAATGATCACATCGAGATCCAAGTTATCACAAATACTGTAAAATCCTCTTTTTACTTAATAGCATTTTAATGGAAACGGCGGGTTTATGAAATAAAAGTGACTGGTAAAGAAAACATAAATCAAGCTTACTAGTCCTTTGGGGTAATTTCTTTTTTTTTTTTTTTTTTTTTATTGAATTTGGTATATCCTTGATTCATTAAAATTCTGGAGTGTTTTATCTATTATCGCTTTTCAAATAAAATGGGATTCTTTTTTATTAAAACT